CCGCGAGTATCGCGGGTCCCCCTCTTGTTACAATCTACTATGCTTCTGATCATAGTGTCATTGTCTGTTCTTTACCGCCTGTGCTGTGTGCTTCCTTGCTAAAATAACTTCCTGGCCAGTTGAGATCCACAATTTTGGCAGGAGAATAAATGATTAATACATGTAATTTATTCCAGATACATAATCTGCATTTTCTAGGCACGACTCTGTGTAACATCTAGAATCCAACAACCTCTTAGCATGTAGAATGTCAAACTGGCGTCTACCACTAGATTCCTTGAAAGGGCTGGGGGAGAGCAACCTGCCAAAATCTACTAATTGTTTTATTTCGGTATACCAAGCGAGCTGAAATTCCAATACCAGGTGATGGGCTGTGTCACCTGATCACTTTATTTGTGTTCTTACTTGTACAGGTTTTGTTTCTCATGGAAACCTGACCTTGCCAAGTCATACATCTGTTCTGTTTCTCATTAATACCTAAACTTTCCAAAAGAGGACGGGTTGTTGATCTTTGGCTCACTCTTCAGCATACTTTTACCAGCAAAATGCCCGTTGGCCTGACAAGAAGTAAGCAGAAGGAACACTTTGCTTTGCTGCCGTGTTTGTTCTGCTCAGAAGCCTTCCAGGTGGCTACTAGAGATTAGCAATACATTTGAACTATTAAAAAGCAAATACTTAGATCAAGAGTGATCATTAAAAGAGACTAGACAACAGCCACACAAAAAAGCAAATCAACTAAAAGATGGTAAACTGCAAATTGTTAGCAGGGTTAAAACAACTGCAGAATAAAAATATGTTTGCTTCAGAGGAGCAGCTGTGCTACTCTATTGCAGCAAAAAAAGAAAAAGGGCTCTTTCAGATGTAACTAACACCTCACTGGGCAGACCCTTCTGTGTGGGTAGAATACGAAAACAAACAGCAGGGATAAAAGGCCATGAAATGCAGGAAGCACAGGGTGAAATGTAATTATGAAGAATTCAAATATAATTAAGAAAAAATAAAATCAAGGAAAAGATATGTCTCTAATTTTTCTTGATTGGCTTTGAATTTTACATAATAATATTTCACCCCATACTCCTTCTAGATTTTGGTGGGTAGCCCTAGGTGGGCAGCTGTGTTGATTTGAAGCAGTAGTACAAAATTAGAGTCAAGTGGCATCTTTAAGACCAACACAGGTTTAGTCAAGGTATGAGCTTTCGTGTGCAAGGCACAATTTTTCAAATACATTGAAGTGGTGTGTAAGGTTCAGACTTATAGACAGGGAAATTAAGATGTAACATGATGACGTTTAAGATATGCAAAGTCCAAAATATACGGTCAACAGATATAAAGAAGAAGAGAAGAGATTGGATTTATACCTCACCCTTCACTACCCAAAGGTGTCTCAGAGTGGCTTACAAACTCCTTTCCCTTCCCCTCCCCACAACAGACACCCTGTGAGGTAGGTGGGGCTGAGAGAGCTTGTTATGTCTTTATCTATCTGTAAACCCATGTTAAGCTGATTCACTGTTTGACTAAGACACGGCGTTGAGTTCCATACCTAACAATTGACGACAAGGATGGGATGCTAAGAGCAGGTAGGCAGCCCTGCTGAAACTAAGACACGGCGTTGAGTTCCATACCTAACAATTGACGACAAGGATGGGATGCTAAGAGCAGGTAGGCAGCCCTGCTGAACCAACGCCAGGACGGAGAACAAAGACGCACACCTGGTCGAGCCAGCTGAGGCGCCACTAGCTGTTGTGGTCGCCCCAATTGCTGCGATGGCCGAAAACCCAGTGTTTGAAGCATTCAAACCAGGCACGGAGGATTGGGACTCTTACCTATCCAGGTTCGAGTTCCATCTGCAGGCGAATCAAATCGTGGACAAGGCGAGAAAGAAGGCGACACTCCTCAGTTCCTGCGGCAAGACCGTTTTCAATGTCGCCCGGTCCCTGGTTGCCCCAACTGACATCCATACGACGACCTGGAAAGACATCACAGACCCGCTGAAGGCTTACTTCTCGCCTCAGCCGTCCCAAATCGCTTGCCGGCACGCCTTCTACAAGTGAAGCTAGGGCCCAACCAAATCAATCACAGAATATGTCACCGCTCTGCAAAAAGCCGCTGGGCCTTGCAACTTCACCGACCTTGAAGAAGCTCTCCATGATTGGCTCATGTGTGGCCTACATGACGAGAGGCTGCAGCAGTGCCTGTTTGCCAAAACTGCACTCACTTACGACGTGGCCTATGCAGAGGCCGTCACCACCGAGGCTGCAGAAAGGTCAATGCGAGAGGTCTGCCAGTGCCATACCCAGACCAGGAAGGACCAGTCGGTGCACCACCAGTCGACCAGTGGGTCTGAGGAGGAAACCAATGACGTACACCGAATGCAAGCTGCATGGCACAAGTGGACCCCACTGAAGACTCCGCCATGGCGCTCCTGCGCAGGTTGTGGCAAGAGTCACGAGCGAGACCATTGTTGGGCGTGAGAATTCGTCTGCCAGGCCTGTGGAAAGCAGGGTCATTTGGCAAGGGTCTGCCGGGCCAAGAAGAAATGGCCACCATCGTTTCCTGCTGTGAGGCCTCGCGTTCGAGCCATGGACGGTGAGAGGTATGCCGACTGCCACCAGACCGACTACTGCACATGCCCATCGACAGTCCTGAACACCGGAGCAAGCACCAGCAAGAAAATCCTAGTCACCATTCGGCTGGACAGCGTTCTCTGTGACATGGAAGTCGACTCCAGATCTGCCATGACCGTCATCTCTTCACAGACCTGGCAGCACTTGTTTCCACAGAGGAGCCGCTGCTGCCTGACACCATCGACCGCACACCTCTCCGATTTCCAGGGTTGGCATATTCCGCTGGCTGGGAAGACCAGTTTTGAGATGGAGTTCTGGGGTCATAGTTGTCATCATTGCTGTCCCTTCTTGTTGCTGAGGGAAACCGGGCCAGTTTGTTGGGTCTCGACTGGTTCAAACCCCTGGATATTGCAGTAACCGGGGTTAACAAAGTCTGTGTGAGTAAAGGGGAATTCATTTATGACGAGTTCCCAGAGGTTTTTGACGGGGGGCTTGGTCGGTATACAGGGCTGGCTGTGGGTTTTGATCTGGATCCTTCTGTGGCACCTATCAGGTTAAAATATAGAAAGGTTCCGATATCTATGAAATCAAAAATAGAGGCCAAACTGGATAAGTTGATCGCACAAGGTATTCTCGAACCAGTTCCTCATGCAAAGTGGGAAACTCCAATTGTAACTCCTGTTAAGTCTGATGGGTCTGTACGAATATGTGTGACTATAAATACACGATAAATAGGGCTCTGCAACAACATTCTTATCCAGTGCCGGTGATAAGCCATGTACTAGTGTTGCTGGGTGGAGGAAAGGTTTTTGCTAAATTAGATCTTGCGCAGGCTTACCAACAGCTTCCCGTGGACAAAAAGGCTGCAGAGGCGCAGATGATCGTGACGCACCAAGGTGATTTTCGAGTAAATAGGTTGCAGTTTCAGGTCAACGTCGCCCCAGGTATCTTCCAAGGGCTTATGGAAGGGTTGCTGAGAGGATTACCGGGAGTAGTCCCATATTTCGATGATGTGCTGATTGCGGGGGCTAATGAAACTGAGTTGTTGGGCCGTCTAAGGGCGGTATTGAATCATTTCAAAGAAGCTGGTTTAAAAGTCAAAAAATCCAAATGTCATATTGGTGTGTCACAAGTGGGATTCCTGGGGTTCCTCATTGACAAACAAGGGGTCCACCCCACAGCAGATAAGGTATCTGCAATTCAGAATGCACCATGCCCAGGTTCAAAGAAAGAGCTGCAATTGTTCCTGGGAATACTTAATTTCTACCACTCGTTTTTACCCCATAAAGCCTCCGTAGCAGAACCGTTACATGGGTTGTTGCAGAAAGGTGTGAAATGGGAATGGGGTGCGAAACATGAAAGGGCATTCACATCCGTTAAAGAGCTGTTGTCGTCTAAAGCTGTTCTGACTCATTATGATGAATCTAAGTTGTTGGTATTGGCTGCCGACGCTTCCCTGTACGGGGTTGGTGCAGTTCTGAGCCATGTCATGGCCGATGGGCAGGAAGCGCCCATAGCATACTATTCACGGTCTTTAAGTGCCGCCGAGAAAAACTATGCCCAGATTGACAAGGAGGGGCTTGCCTCAGTGGGGGGCGTAAAAAAGTTTCATGACTTTGTTTATGGGCGCTGGTTCCTCCTTGTCACAGATCACAAGCCTTTACTGGGACTTTTCTCACTGGACAAACAATTGCCTAATGTGATGTCTCCCCGCATGTTGCTGTGGGCCATTTTTTTGTCAGCCTACAACTATGACTTAGAGCACCAGCCAGGCAAGACCATCGGACACACGGACGCTCTTAGTCATTGCCCACTGCCCCAACTGGACGCTGATCCTGCTCCTGCGTTCAAGGTGTTGGCCCTTGATGAACTGCCACAGCCGCCGGTCCACTCTTTAGACATTGCTGCCGCTTCGGCAAAGGACTCTACCCTTGCCCGAGTCCTTAACTGGGCATGGAGGGGGTGGCCGGCGGGTCGTTTTGAGCCGGAGTTTCAGCCTTACAGCTCCCAGCAAATGGAGCTATCTGTGCACAAAGGTTGTTTGCGCTGGGGTAATCGGGTAGTTGTGCCCCCTAAGCTAAGGGAGAGGGTCTTAGAAGCTCTTCACAATGGCCATCCAGGCATAGTTCACATGAAAGCTCTCACCAGGAGCTATGTCTGGTGGCCTAAACTCGACGCTGACATAGAAGAGTGGGTATGACTTGCCAACAGTCAAGACCGAATCCTCCTCAGGCACCCATTCAACATTGGGAGAGTATGCACAAGCCCTGGTCGAGGTTACAAGTCGATTTTGCTGGGCCTTTTCAGGGCCAGATATTTTTGATCATTGTCGACTCATATTCAAAGTGGCTTGAAGTCGCTCAAATGCATACAATGTCATCCACTGCTGTAATTAATATGTCGCACCGAGTGTTTTCCACCCATGGGTTACCGGACATGTTGGTGTCTGACAGCGGGGCACAATTTACCTCTGGGGAATTTGCAAAATTCCTGGGGGACAATTTGATCAAGCACGTAACCTCTGGGCCGTTTCACCCAGCCACAAACGGGCAAGCCGAATGTATGGTTCGGACAACTAAAGAAGCTCTTAAGCGCATGAGTCAGGGTGACTGGGGGCAGAAGTTAGCCTCATTTTTGTTAAGGCAACACATCACGCCTTGCACAACGACAGGGAGGAGCCCAGTAGAGCTCCTGATGGGTCGCAGACTCACCACCCTGCTCGACCGGCTCCATCCGGACCTAACAGAGTCCCGACCACCAAGAGCTGAGGTCCTGGAAACACCGCGAACATTCAAATCCGGGGACAAAGTGTTCGCATGCAACTACGGGGAGGGACACTTATGGCTTCCCGCCATAATTTCAGATTTTTTGGGCTCCCGAATGTATGTGGCGCAACTTGCAGATGGGTGAAAACTGAGGCGCCACATAGATCAACTCAGGCAACGGTGGGCTGACTCAAAACTTGAGTCCAGCTCTGACCCTGATGCGATCCACAACTCAGTTGATGAGCAACGAGGGCCTCCAGACGAGGAGGTGCGTGTTGCTGAGCCCATTACTGACCCCGATCTTGGGCAATCCTCAACTCATGAAGGTAGTCCCTCAGAAAGTAGTTCTCCAGACTCACTGACAGTGAGTCAGCCAGGGCTCCCGTACACTTATCACCACCCGAACCTGAACCAGTACGCAGGTCCCAAAGAGCAAGGTGTGCCCCCTCCTACTTAAAAGATTATGTTTGCTCCGGAATTGTTCCATCTTAGGGGGGAGGAATTATTATGTCTTTATCTATATGTAAACCCATGTTAAGCTTGAAATCACATCAAGGATTGTAAGCTGCAACAATTCTATTGGCTGTTGTATTGAATCACCCAATCAGGATGCAGGGTAATGTTCTGGAGGGAACAGACCTGATTGGGTGTTATCCTTGTATTGTGATTGGTCCTTAACTGGACTGGGTGTGGCTACACCAGCCCGGGATAATTTAAAAGGGAGCTGTGCTCCACTGTTCTGTGTGTGTTCACTGACTGTTCTTGTTACTTCAAATAAAGCTAATTCACTGTTTGACTAAGACACGGCATTGAATTCCATATCTAACAGAGCTCTTGACAGAAACTGCTCTTTTTCAAGAACAGCTCTTATCAGAACTATGGCTTGTCCAAGGTCATCCAGCTAGGTGCAAGTGGAGGAGTGGGGAATCAAACCCGGGTCTCCCAGATTAGAGTCCGTGCACTTAACCACTACATCAAACTGGCAAAGTAATAAATATGTCCAATAAATAGCAGATAAATGTCCAAAGGTGTCTTTTCTAATTGTGGGAAGCAAACTGAGAATCTCCATTCTGTCCTCTCAGGCGTGGGTAGCCCTGTTGGTCTGAAGCAAAAGAAGAAAGCCTGAGTCCAGTGGCACCTTTAGACCAACAAAGTTTTATTCTGGGATAAGCTTTCATGTGCATACCCAGAATAAAGCTTTGTTGGTCTTAAAGGTGCCACTGGACTCAGGGTTTTTCCTTGTAGATTTCTTTTTGTTTTGCCTACCTCATCTTACATTTTAACAATGCAGTCCTCTGCAGGTTTACTGCAGTTTAATCCCATTGGTGTCAGCGGACTAAGACTGAAGACACTTGGCGTAGCATTCCACAGTTGGTTAGTCAAGCCAAATTCATTTTGTCATGAGGACAAACAATTCTGTCCTTCCCCCATCCAGGCTTTATGAGAGAACCTGTTTACTGATGTGTGGAATGTGTGCTTTCCTGTATCCGACATCCACCCTCAGCCTTTCTAGCAAAGTGTCAAAACTATTAGAATCCCCCCCACATACAATTTTATAGTCACAAACTCTTCCACCCACCCACTGCCTTTCTTCTGGTTGTGATTATCTGTCTCAAGTCTTTCTTTCCTTGACCCAAAAGATACTATTACCATCCAATCCTACCTGTAATCTACCTGAAACATTTAACACTCTTTAGCTAGCAATAAGATAGCAGTTGGTCAGGAAATGGGAGATGGGGCCTTGAGGTGCTTTTTGTTGTTTTTGTTGTTGTTAAAAGCCAGCTTGAAAATGATTCAAAGAGCAAAAGAATGTCAAAAACTTTTACCTCTGTTTGAATTTATGTCTGGCAACAGGCAATGTAGAATATTTTTTTGTTTTTCTAGCTTTATATTTTTGCCACTTTTAAGCACCCTTCCACAATATGACTCTGCAAAATCATACTGATTTTAATTTGGATTTTATTTTAATGCTATAAAGGCTTGAGTCATGTCCCAGAATATTTTTTACAGGAAAACAGACTCTAAAAAGGGCTGACTTATAAATCATCACAGTAAAACAACACAGTTAATTAAAAAAAACACCAGCCTCCATTCCAATATATTAAAATGAGGTAACCCCATATTCTGCTGGCAAAATATTCCTGAGTCAGTTTTTCCACAGGCAGAGAGGAATTTTGGAGCCTGCATTTAGGGCTAGTAACAGTTATGAAAACAAAGGAACTTCCCAACTCAGAGCAACATCCCAATGTGAATCATATTAACTGCAGTTCTGCTAGAACACCCAGCCTTCGGTGTCGGCTCAGGAACAGGGACTACTTACATGTAGTTTAGTTTTACAAGCTACTTCCTAACTGCATTATAGAAAAACTATAAAGTGCAGTTTGTAATCTCTGGCATACATCTAATACACACACATAAACCACAGTAATAATACATAAATAAACATTATACCAAGATGATTGTTTTTTTAAGCTTGGAAAAGTAAACATCATACTTGACCTGACCAAAATATCGGAAACACGCAGCTCTGTACCAGCCACTATAACCTGTCACAACTTGTACAATGTCCACAAAGAGGAAAGGATCTCTCCGTTAGGCACTCTTTTCAACATTCCCTTTTCGTCATGCTGGAGTTCATGTTCTCTGACCCTCAGGCTTCTGAAATATCCTTTGTGGCTTGTCAGATATTAGAGAGACTCTACAAATCCTTAGACCTTACATTATGAGTTAATTTCATCATTAGGTAAAGGTAAAGGTTCCCTTGCTCGAAAGCCAGTCGAATCCGACTCTAGGGTTGCGGTGCTCATCTCCGTTTCAAAGCCGAAGAGCCAGCGCTGTCAGAAGATGTTTCTATGGTCATGTGGCCGCATGACAACACCAAGGCGCACAGAACACTGTTACCTTACCACCGAAGTGGTACCTATTTATCTACTTGCAATTTCTTGCTTTCGAACTGCTAGGTTGGCAGGAGCTGGAACTAGAGACAGGAGCTCACTCCATCATGCGGCACCCGGGTCTCGAACTGCTGAACTACTGACCTTCCACAGCCTGCAGTTCAGCATCTTAACCACTTGAGCCACCGCAGCTCCTAATTTCATCATTAAACCTCCCCCAAAACTTTCTGGTACAAGTCCATAATTAAGGGGGAATTTTACTTCTTCCAATTAGCTGCAATGCATAATTTTGCTGATGCGAGTAGAGTAGAATCATCTTAGAATTAGACTTGTCAACCAACCCTTTCACATAACAGGGTAAAATTATTTAATGGCCTATAATGGACTGACATCCCATGATCTCATTTTCTTTTTTTTAATTGCTTTTTGTCTAAGAAAAATAGAAAACTACACAGGTACTCACTTTTTAGATGGTCAAAATTGAATGAACATGTATGGGGGGTTGTTACTGGTGGCAGCAAGCTTTGACCTACCTAGATGTTTTCATTTAACTGTATGCAAAGGTAATATGAGTGTACAAAAAACACAACAGACAAGCACAGCTCCACACATGAGATTTGTTAAAACATGGTCACCGATACTAAACTATATGTCAAGGAAAGAAATAATCACACAGCTTGTCTGTTTGGCTCATAATAAATAAATAAATAAATAAAATACTCCCAGCAAACACCTTATATCACAAGTGGTTATACCTGTGAGAAATACAAAGCAATCAGATCTGCTAACAAGGACAAACTCTGCACACACATTCAAAACAACAATTACAACACATATCAAAACCAATATACCTAGGGGAACATTTTATCACTTACTAACTAAACCTAGGACTAAACTGGGTAATGAAGAATAACCTACCTATATGTTACTTGTATATGTATTTTTCTTGTTAAAATAATAAAAATAAATTTTAAAAAATGAGTGTACAGATATGCATGAGTACAGCTGTCATCATATGATGTTTTGTGTATGTACACATAGGCTCAATACAGACAATCAAAAAAACATCTGTAAATTAGGGTGAAGCTTGTCATGATCGTATTGCTCTCACCATCTGTGCATTCATTCCACTTGTTCAAATGCCAGTTTTGTGTAGTGGTTAAGTGCGCGGACTCTAATCTGGGAGAACCGGGTTTGATTCTCCACTCCTTCACTTGTACCTGCTAGATGACCTTGGGCAAGCCATAGTTCTGGCACAGCTGTTCTTGAAAAAGATCAGTTTCTGTCAGAGCTGTCTCAGCCCCACCTACCTCACAGGGTAAGCTGCTCTGAGACTCCTTTGGGTAGTGAAGGGCAGGGTATAAATCCTATCTCCTCTTCTTCTTGTTCTTCAAATGCCCAAATACGGCTATGTATGTCAATAAATGTAAAAAGTGACAACATGTGATTAAGAAAGAAAAAAGTTTTTAATGATAAATACATGTACAGCAGAAATTATAGCCTTGAGAAAAATGTGGATAAATTATTTCCCCAAAACAAAAATCAACAAATCTGTCAGTCTGAAGCAAAGTACAACAAAACTAACAAGTGGTCTGGGGACATCTAAGCATTAATCTGCAACATAAGAAAATAAATTCAGTTGTGAACAGCATATGTTGAAGACCTGGGAAGCCAAACAGACAAGCTGTGTGATTATCTGGAAGGGCTCCAAGAGCTTTTAAAAATTTTAAATGCAAGAACAAGAAATTGAGAATCAAAGCAAAAAATGAGGGAATACAAGAAGATTTAACTGTAATGTCAAAAAAAGCTTTGCATCAGAAGGGTGTTTTTTGCAAGTTTTTTTAATAGGCTGGGGTAAAAAAAAAAGCAGCCCCAAATTCAAAATCAAATATTTCTAGGGGTTTTTTTGTATCTCAAGTACCTTTTTGTGTATATAGAAAGAAACTGTAAGTGGCTGTACTTTGGAGACAATGTCCTAAGAAGTAAAAGGTGTAGAGCCACTTCTTTGTGCATTCTGCCAAAAAAAGTGCAAGTGGAGTAGGAATCTATCCTAGACAACAGAGACAAGGAAAACATACAAACTTTTTTGACCTTGAAGCATTTGAAACAGCAGCATTTGAGGACTACTAAGGCTAGATGAAAGATGTGATTGATTTCAGGGTACTGTGGAGAAGCACTGTGCTTCTAAAGCATTCGTTTAAATATGTATATATATACCTACACCTCTAAAATGAGAAAGAAGAGAAAACAAACAAATAACAGGCGCTGGTGAAAGATCTGCTGTATTAGACAAGCATTATTATGGATTCCGTGTGTTACCATAAATGCATCTTCTTATCTCTCCCTTCCAGGCATTGTGGGCTCATCGTCCACTGGATGCATGCAACATCCTGTCTCCTTGAAATAGCTTGTCTGGTATGAGCAGTGACTCATGAAAGCTCATACCCTGCCACAAATTTTGTTAGTCTTT